AATCTACTGGATCTTGGACCACAACTCACGAGAAGAGACCAACCCATAAGAGCTGATATCCATGCTACTCTGTGTCCTGTTTAGGAATAGAATAATTGGTTTCAGGAGAATAGGAGCCCAAAGAGTGGTCCCAGACTCCAGAATCTCATTCCAGGCTTTATGCTGGCAAGAACATTCCAGAAACACATCTCAGAGGCCAGGAGCCACTGGCTCTGTCCCTTTTGGAGCATTATCATTTAGAAAAGGAGGAGGCAGCTGCTCTGGAAAACTATCCCAAACTCCCTTGGTTCCGAAGCTGGATGTGTCTTTTACCTCTGAGCCTCAGCTCAGAGCTTGGAACATGTAAAATACAATTCATATTTACTAAGGTGCAAAGCTATTCAATGAAATGGCTCATCAACCCTAGGTCGCATTGGGTTTTTGCAGCACCCAGGCCTTGCCCTCACAGCTTGCCCAGCTGAATCAGCCATCTGAGTCTGTGAGAAGGTGAGAAGCAGGCTGTAAACAGGTGTTTAAGAGCTGCTTTCCAGCCTGCCCAGCTGAACCACCCGCACACTTCCCAGCTATTCCTTGGAGGGAGCCCTTCACTTCAATGCCAAAAGGCAATGGTCATTGTGTGGCCTGATTCCCCTCACCCCCAACACACACCCCTCAACAGGAAAAGTTACGTGAATGTCTCTATCAAAGTGTAGGGGGGAGAAGTTTAGGGGGGAGAGGAAGACAATCCCAGAGCCACCTTTATCTTTAAGCAAAAAGTAATGAAATCTTTATCAAAATAGGCTATCCTTCTCTGCTTTAGGAGTAAATGGAATATTCCTGGTTATAGAGAATAAGTAGACCTAGAACCCAGCTGCATGATGCTCCCTCCTATCCCTAGTCTCTCGAGGCAGATATAACTGACTCATAGTTCCATCTATGACTCCTATTTTCATGCCAGGGGCATCTATGAAGTGTCACTTCAGAGACCAGGCCACCCTTAGGACCAGTAGGAAAGAACAGATACATGGCAGGGCTCCCCAGCACCCTCATCACGTCACAGCTCTCCCTTCTCGGATATGGACAGATAGGATTCTCTGAGGGCAGAAGATCAAAAGAAGTAATAGGCACGCACCCCAATCCCTCCCTTATTCTGCCCCTTGGCCAACATCCTAGCTCCATCCCAACCACTGGGTCCTGGGACACTGAAGAATGGAAAGATATGGTAAGGGAAAGTAAATCCGCCCCCAAGGAAGTAGTGCTCCTTTGTACCCTTCACTTTTACCTATAAAGCAGCCTCAGGTGAGATTTTTCCTGAATATAGGCAAAAATGAGCAAGATTCCACTGGGCAAGATAAGTCAACCTGGCCATTTTATAGTGGGGAGCATCCTCTGAAGGAGAGATCTATGTACCACCACCTTCTGGAATATTGTGAGAAATAGTTTCTATGGCCAGCTTCCAATCCTGTGAACAAAACAAAGACAACAGGAGGGTGGACCATACCCAACCATGTACATTGGTACTGTGTGTTTACATCTAGAAGAAAATGCAAAGCCAGCAGCTTTGGGTGCCTTTAGAGAGAAGAATGGAGGGAAATGGAAGAAATGTGAAGACGGGATTTTTGTATTCTCTTTTGTGCTGTTTGGATATGTTCCAGTTACATCTTTTAACGTGAAAAAGGTTGTTCTTTCATTTAACAAACATTTCTAGTCTACACTGGGTATGGGCATTGAGAGAATGAGACAGTTTACCCAAGAAAGGCTCTGATGGAGTCCTGCCTACCTCAGGACCTTCTAGGCCTTCTAGTCTAGGCTATATTGTAAATGGAGATGTTTCTGAGGATAAAGAGATGCTGACTTAAATATTAAGATGGTGGCCATAAAACAACTCTCCTGGGAAAATCAGGATGTTTGGCCCAGATAAGGAAAGGTACATAATCATTATCTATCTCTCCAGTCTTACCATTATCAGCCAACCCATTTGTCACCATCCTCTCTAATCCTCTGACAGCCTAGCCTTTCATATTTCACTGTTTGGTTGTATCTCAGTTTCACATTTTCCTAATCCTGAATTCCTAAGAAAGGAATCCAATTGGTTCAGGTCATTTGGCCCCAAATCAGAATACGTCATAGGTCAGATGCCCGCGTAGGCATAACATTTCTTCTTCTACCTGGCTTCCAAACAACCCCAGTCTCAGGGCCAATCCACAGAAGTCATGGCTGCTTCAAAGGGTAACAAGAACCTGGAAAATGTAAGAGGCCATGATGGTACCCTTCCAAATAGCTGCCTACCCCATGCTGAACACTCCAAAATTTGGCCTGGCTGGAAAGCGCCTGGCCCCATTGAACAAAGTGCCCACCACAGTACTCACAATCACTGAGAGATCTTTCAACATCCATAGCTGCCATGTGTGGGGGTTGGGGGGAAGGTGTATGGCAGGAATGCCACAGTCATCAGGATCATGACCTTGATGACAAAAGCAGCCAGTAAGTATAACACATCTCCTCTTATGACCTTTAACAATTTCTTGTCAATCAAGTAGAGCACAGCTGGACAAGTAGTAGCCTTTTTCCCACAGAAAAGAATGCATTGTTAGCAATACAGCTTTCACTGTGCATCTTCCTAATATAGAAGGCCTAGGAAGTGCTCTATAAAGCCATCCAAATGCCGAAGTGTATGAAAAACTAGAGGTTAGAGAGCTCATTTGCTGAGAGGTAAGTTAAAGACTTAAGGAATCCAGCCACATAAAGACCTCACTTTGAATGGAGGCTTATGGCTTTTAAAAACAATGTTTCTAGCTTAGAATGATCCATAGTAAACCACACATGTATAACACAAAGAATTCAGTGTGATGTCCTGGCCTCTATGTCTACATGTAAACTATCACCACAATCAGGATAATAAATGTATTTTTTAAAAAGATAATATATCCATCACCCCTTGTTTACTCATGACTATGTTTGCCTTCTATCCTTCCTCATTCTCCATGCCTGTCTTTTGGCAATCGATAATTTTTCTATTACTGCTATTCTCATTTTTTATTTTATAAATAGTATAATGTAGTACATACTTGATTTTCTCTGGTTTTTCACTTAACATACTTATATTGATATTCATCCATTTGCTGGGTGCAATACTTGATTGCTTTTTGTTAAGTAGTTTCTCATTGCATGACAAACCCCAATTTGTTCAGCCATTCACCTTCTGATGGACATGTGATTTATTTCCAGTTTAGGACTATTATAAAAAATGGCTGTCATGAAGATTCACATAAAAACAAAAGTTTTTGAGAGCAAAACCTTTTATTGAAGGTATAGTGTGTGCCTGGTTAAGTACTTCATATACACTATCTTATAATCTTTCCAACACATATGCAAATTTTTGTAATTGTGCCTAAGCTTTGTTTGCCTTGGAAGAGTGCTTAAGAATGGAATGGCTCAGGTAAATTGGATGGATGAGTGAAGTTGGGAGGAATGGAGAAAGTGATAATAAAAAAAAAGGATGACACTGATCAAGATGTCTTGTGCTCATAAGCTAACATGTTGGATTGAAACCCCTTATACAACTACTTAGAAATAATTTAAAAACTAAAAAACAAAACTTTTAAGCCAACTTGTAAAAAAATGGCATGGCTGGATCATTTGATAAGTACAGGGGTCTTAATATGCCTCCTCCCCCCAAAGTTAATAAGCTGGGAAGTTAATCCCCAAGGTTATAATTATAGGGTCATGAGTATGTGACACCCATCAGGGTTATTACTGGCTTTACAAGGCAAGAAAGACAGCGGAGTTAGCAAACAAGTGTTTCAGTGTGACACCCTCTACCATGTTATGATGCAGCAGGAAATGTCCCATGAGATGTTGACTACAAGCCAGTACCACCCTCTTGGACTTCTCAGCCTTCAGAACCAAAATCCAAATAAACTTCTTTATAACTTACAGCCTCTGAGATTTTATTATACCAACAGAAAGTGTTATTAAGACAGTTAACTTGTGTTTTGAGCATAGCAATTTGATGTAATCTTTGTGAATCTTAGGGTACCTGACTGTACATACCATAAAGGCATACATAGACTACATATGAATCTCTCTCTCTCTCTCTCTCTCTCTCTCTCTCACACACACACACACACATACACACACACACACACATATACACACCACATTCATTAGGATGTGGCTAGCTTTCTCTTAGTCCTCTCAGACAAAATATGGAGATCCATGAAGGAAAAAAAATTGCTCTGGATAAACTTTGATTTTTATAGAATGCTCACTTCACAAATTCCCAACTAAATCAACACATTAGAAATGGCTCAAAAAAAAGATTACATAATCTGTCTTCAAGAGAGCCTTTCAAGAATGGCAGTATTTCCTTGGTCTAACATAGAAGAGTCATGGTCAGCACCAAAAGATTCAAATGAAGCAAAATAGGGCAGAAGTTCTCCAAAGGTACATTTCCTAGAAACTTGATAGAAAGATGCATTCTCCCCTGTTCAGACCTACTGAGTAAAAACTGTGAGGCGCTCCCATCAATATGGACTTGAAGTTATAAAACATTAAGAACATCACCTCTCTATTGCCTGGGCTGTACCCATACAGCTGTAGTGCTCGCTCTCCCAGTACCCTGCTTCCTTATTAAAATCTCCTCCTAGAGCTGTTACTACATGGAGTGCACACACTCACCATGACAACCTTTTCCTAAAGCACCACACTTAAAAAAAAATCTTAGAAAGTCATTAGAACATTAAAATCCAATGATCCATTCACTCTATGTAATTTTCACCCTGTCATATTAAAGTACAAATAAGAGCTAAATAAAGACAAAGATAGTAGGTAATGCACACCAATGCTCTTTACTGCTCCAGAACCCCCAGCAAATGTACATTAGCAGGAAATGAATCAAAATTTGAATAGGAAGAATTTCAGTAAAAAATACTGGCTATCTTTTACTTTAATCTTCACTCTGAGCATGAATTCCCCTCAGCATACCCAGCGAGGTTTGAGCTTTCCTTTGTTTTGCTTGCTTAAAATTTAGCCCAGTCTTTGAAAACCCTCTCCAACTTCTGGCCAAGCAGAACTTTTCCACTCACTTTGAACTTGCCAGCCAGGAAAGCCTTCTGTGGATTCATTTTGCCCAAAACTAACTCCATAAAGATAGACTCTGGGATTGTAAAAGTAGTATCCGCTGGGAACCTGGCGGTTCCTTGGTACATGTCCCCAGAACCGTTCTTCAGATCAATGGTCCACTGCAGGATGATCTTCCCATCTTTGGTGATGTCCAGCTGAAAGATGGCGTTGACTTTCTTTACCAGTTGGGGTCCCACTTCTTTGATGTGATGGCTAATGTCCTCAAACACCAGAAAGCTCTGGGATTCTGACAGTCCTAGAGTGTGTGGCCTGGCAGGTTCCTGAGATGAACCCAACGCCCTGAACTGGCCTGCCTGAGGTCCATCCCCTGCTTTGATCTTGGGCTGATGGTCAATTCTCTTCCACATCTTACTGTACTGGTCCTCTTGACCTTGCCGTCTGCTCTGTGAGCAGCTATGGCCTAACTAATAACCACAGGCCATATTGTGACATCAAAAGTAAGACCCAAGCAGGGATTCAGGAAGATGTGTGTCCTGCAGTCTTATTGGCCAAATAAAACTGAAAATATGACATGGGTTGAGAACTCAGACAGGTAATTGTGAGGCAGATCTACAGTACATATAGATCACACACACATGCACACGCACACGCACACAGAGTTCTCAAAACTCATCCAGGCTGCCATTCCCACAAGCCCAAAAGAACTACAGCCTTAAATGGAGTTAAAGGAAACTGGCCTCTGAAGGTTCTTTGGTGACATAAACTCTGTCATTCCAAAGCAGGCATCTCCCAGTTTGCAACCTTGAGAGAGCAGTTGTTCTTATTCTGATCTCTTCAAAAGCAGATACTTCTTTCTGTATATATTTTTTATTGTAAAAATACTCTACATTGATTTTGGTACCCCACATCTTCACATACATTTGTCTAATCTGGGGAGGGGAAGGAGAATAACAAAATGCTGAAACAAGGACCCATTGCAACAAGGATACCCACAGGACAGTATATTGGAAACGAACTTTACAACTTCGGCGAGGGACTGGAGGAGGGTTAGGTGGGAGGAGGAGTGAGGAGGTGAGGGAGGGAAGGGATAGTGGGACAACAACAAGGGAAGGGGTAACAATGATCAACAAGTAATGTACTCATTGTCTTACTCATTGTCATTGTCATTGTCTTACTCATGTAACTGTCACCCTTCCGTATAGCATCTTTACAACAAAATAAAATTTTTGAAAAGAATATAGAAAAAATACTGTACAGAGGGGTGACAGTTACACCAGTAAGGTAATGAGTACATTTCCTATTAAGCAATGTTACCTCCTCCTCTGTTTTTCCCCTACCATCCCTTCCCTCCCACCTCCCCAATTCCTCCCTCACCCCACCCCCCACCCCCCACCCCGAAGTTGTATAGTTCATTTTCAACATAGTGTCTTGTTCATCTCATTATTACAATGGGTCAGCCCGTATCCTTATTTCAGCATTTTGTTATTTCCCTTCCCCTCCCCAAATTGGAAAAATGTATATACAAGATGCAGGGCACTGAAATCAAATACAGTGAAAATGGGGGTTATGCCATCAGGGAAGAACATACAAAAGAAACAAAAAAAACCCACATAGTACGTTATAAATACATGAAGAACAACAGCAAGAAAGATAAAACCACTTGTGTCTCTATCTTGAGGTTCATTTCGCTTAACATCATCTTATATGGTCATATGTACACAGCAAAAGCAGATCGTTTTACAGCACAAATCATGTTAAATTTGCTCTTATCAGGCTACTAATGAGGGAGAAATATAGGGAGAAAAGAGGGAAAGAGAGAAATACCCCTAGGGTCAGCAAAAGATGCTGCTGGCCACATACAATAATTATGATATAGCCCTTGCTTTGAGCCAAGATACAGGAATTTAAGCACTATTCATAAGCAACACAGCTAATTTTTACTACAGCCCCCTAAGGTAGGTAGTTTTATCCCCGTTTTGCAGATGTGAGACTAAAGGAAGGAAAAATGACATGGTTTCTTCAGAGTGCCATAGCTAGTAAGTAATATAACCAAATTAAAACAAAAACGAAACAACTCTAGTTGTTGCACTTTTTATTTTGAAATAATTATAGCTTTACAAAATTTTGCAAACATATAACAGGTTGTACATATATAACCTGACATATAGAATTGTAAACTCTTTGTACAACTGCCTAATAATAAATCTACATGAGTTTTCCAAAATGTTAACATCTTATATAACATCAACAATGACCTAACCTGAGAAATTAACATGTATAATCCTATTAACTGACCTGCAGACCATATTCAAATATCAACAACTGTCCCACTCATTTCCTTTTTCTGGTCCAAAACCAGATTCTAGCCTGCTATATTCCACATTGCTTTTAATTGCATGCTTTACGAGAGCTCTTCAGCCTAAGAAAGTCTTCATTCTTTGTCTATCATAACCTTGATGTTGGGAAGAACATTTGACATGATTGCAAAAAGTGTGATTCTGTCCGTCTAATGTTTACTCATTAGTATGACATACATTTTTGACAGGACTATCACATAGGTGACCTTGTATCCACCCCAGTGCAGTCTCCTTTCTGCAAACGTTGATCACAATCATTTGGTTCAAGTTGTGTCAACCAGATTATTCAACTGAAGTTACCAATTTTTCCCTTATTAGTACACATTTTGTGGAGTGGTAATTTGAGTTGTTTTTTGTGGGGTTTTTTTGGGGGGTGGGTCATGGGGCTTAAACTTTGGGCCTGGTCTCTGTCCCTCAGCTCTTCAGCTCAACTCAAGCACTCTACCACTTGAACCAGTGCCCCGCTGGTTTTCTGGTGGATAATTGGAGATGAGTCTCATGGACTTTCCTGCCCCAGTTGGCTCTGAACCTCGATCCTCAGATGTCAGCCTCCTGAGTAGCTAGAATTACAGGCATGAGCCACCAGCACCCAGCAGATTTTTGAAATGTTTTCCATCATGCTTTGGCTAACTGCTTTTTGCATCCATTCATGGCTCATACATGCTCATCTCAGTGTGATGTGTCAAGTGGTAACTTTTTAGATTTATATTTTTATCACTCCCTTCAGTTTTAATCATTGGAGTTCTGCTGCACAGAAGAAATGCATTGTTTCTTTATTTGTTCAATTTTTTTCTCTCAATATTGACTTGTGGATATTCCCATTCCTCTTTGGGTTACAGTCTGTTATTATCATTATTTGTTTTCTTGTTCAAATTGTATCAGAAGTGAACTGTTGAGTCATTAGAAGTTCCATCAATTTTGTACCTGTGTCTTTCCTCCACAAACTAACAAAACTACATTAGAGTTAATTAAATAGATTAATAACACTATATTAAATAGAATAAGTAAAGCTACACTAAACAATTCCTTCTTCGTTCTGCCTGTTAAATGCAAAAGAATAAAAAGGCTCCTGAACATTTGTGATGGTAGATGAATGGGTATCATCACTACCAGGCAAGTTTTTTCCATGTTGCAATCAGGTATGGACAACATCTAACAGAGAATTTACAATGAAAAAGTTAGGCAATTCCCCAGCAAATTCATGTGAGCAATCATGATTGCAAACTGAACTCTCCCACCATCATACCTTCTTTTCAATGATGGAGGTTGTCCTATGAGTTATTCTGACAGGTTCTCAAATTGGACTGTCATTGTCCTGACACAGTGTGCCAGAGAGCAAGACCACATTTTATATATGAGAAAGCTAAAGGATGCTATGGACTCCAGGGGATAGTCCATCAATTATACAGTTTAGAATTGCCATCATATGGTTATAATAAAAGGACACCAATTTTAAAAGGACACTAGTTTTATTTAAATTTTCAAGATATAATGCTCCCCTTGCCTGCCTCCTAGGCTGGCAAACACATTACTGTGTATGGAAAACACCCAGCCTCCAGCTGGACATAATCATCCATGACCCCATTGAGATTCCTTCTCCTTTAGTTGGCATTTAGACCCAAGAATCTCACCACAGCATATCTGTGATTTGGGGCTTTTGCATTCCTTAAATGCTTTAAAGGAATGTGAGAAGCTTAGAGTTCTGTTCTTTTAAAAGGAGTTATAACACTATTAAATAGGATTTTTTTAGCTTCAAAGAACAATAACCCCCATTAAAATTTAAAATAACTTAATCCAGGGTTCCAAAATGTGTCTAAACCAGCAGTTTAGGTATCACCCAGGTTTTCTCAAGCATCTTGGTTGAACTAATCAGAACATCTGAGGGAAGAACTCACTTCCATTATGCAGAGTTTCTCAGAACAAAAAATAATAGAATAGTTTAAACTATATTTGTATTTAAACTTTTGTATTTAAAAATAACTAGCCAGGTGCCAGTGGCTCACACCTGTAATCTTAGCTATTCAGGCAGCTGAGATCTGAGGATCATGGTTCAAAGCCAGCCAGGGCAGGAAAGTCCATGAGACTCTTATCTCCAATTAACCACCAGAAAACCAGAAGTGGCATTGTGGCTCAAATGGTAGAGTGCTCAAGTTGAGCTGAAGAGCTGAGGGACAGAGCCCAGGCCCAGAGTTCAAGCCCCATGACCAACAAAAATAAAATAATAACTATATAGTTATAATAACTATAATATGTAACTATAGTTACTACTAAGGCTATGTACTGTTTCTTAAGTCAGGTAATGAGTACATTTTGGGGGAGGGGCAATGTCAGATGTTAGACACTTTGGTAACATGAACTCTGTCATTCCAAAGCAGGCATCTCCCAGTTTGCAACCCTGAGAGAGCAGTTGTTCTTATTCTGATCTCTTCAAAAGCAGATAGTTCTTAAGGCACAAATCTTATGCTAAATTTGGTCTTATCAGGCTACTAATGAGGGAGAAATAAAGGGAGAAAAGAAGGAAGAGAGAAAATACAAAGGAAGAAATACCCGTAAGATCAGCAGAAGATGCTGCTGGCCTGACAGGATAATTATGATATAGCCCTTGCTCTGAGCCAAGATACAGGAATACTGTACGTAGAGCAGCACATTTAATTTCCCCTTCAACCCTCTGAGGTAGGTAGTTTTATCCTGTTTTGCAGATGTGATGTTAGTACTGCAGATTGAATTCAGGGCCTCATGCTTGTTTTGGTTGGTTTTTTTGTGGGGAGGGGGGGGTTGGGTGGGAGATGGGATTGGTCTGTTGTGGGGCTTGAACTCAGGGCCTAGGTGCTGTCCCTGAGCTTTTCTGCTCAAGGCAAGCACTCTACTACTTTGAGCTGCAGCTCCACTTCTGGTTTTATGGTAGTTAATTGAAGGCAAGAGCCTCACAGACTTTCCTGCCCAGGCTCGCTTTGAACCATGATCCTAAGATCTCAGTCTCCTAAGTAGTTAGGATTATGGCATGATCCACCAGCTCCTGGCTTGGCTGTTTCTGAGATAGGATCTTGCTT